AAGAAGTTTGGTGGACCATTAGGGTTCAAGAAATGGAAGGGGCAGGAGCAGTAGGCAATTACCTCGAGCTCTTCCATCTGATCCGCACCACTGGTCCCAGAAAACCAGCGGTCAGTAAGACAATCAGAGACAGCGCGGGTGCGCTGATACACAATAAGGAGCGCCATATGGCTTGTTGGGCGGAACACTTTCAAGATCAGTTCAGCTGGCCCCTGCTTCCGGACTTCTACCTACTCAGGGGATGCAGGACGAGCCATGGACGGTTAGTTTAGAGCCTCCGTCGGAGACCGAGGTATGAAAGGCGATCACAGCCCTCAATCGTTTTTGTGTCGCTGGCCCGGATTCCCTCCCACCTGCACTATTTAAGGATGGAGGTGAGGTCCTCTGCAAAGCACTGAACTCCCCATTCGAACGTATCTGTAAGGAAAAGAGTGTACCGGCTGATTGGAACGAATTGATTATAGTGGCAATATACAAGAAGGGCAGTCGTACAGACTGTCGAACCACAGGGGTATTAGCCTAACGCCAGTTGTGACAAAATTATTGGCCTCGATTATCGTTTGTCGCCTCACTGCGGAACGGGAATCTCGGATTAGGGAATAGCAGGCCGGTTTCCGTCCAGTGCGTGGCTGTATAGATCATATATTGACTTTGCGGCAGGTGCTAGAGCAGCGCCACGCATACCGCAGACCGACAATAGCTATGTTCCTTGATTTGAAGAGTGCGTTCGATTCAGTCGATTGATCGATTCTGTTTGAAATACTTGCGCGGAAATGTGTTCCCACGAAATATGTGAACCTCATACGTGCTCTATACTCGAACACTATAGGCCATGTCAGGGTCCACGATGTCCTATCGGATAGCTTTCCGACCACAAGTTGCGTTCGTTACGGTTGTCTTATTTCCCCGTTTTTGTTCAATTTCGTCGTGGATTCTATCATGGAGTGTTCCCTTGCGGAATCTCACGATGTAGGCGTTGAAGTGCTGCCTGTTGAAAAGTTAGTTGATCTAGATTATGCGGACGATATCGTCTTGCTTTTCGACGATGTTGGGGCGGCACAATCAACCCTGAATGGCCTGTCCAGAGTGGTCCCATTATTTGGTATGCACTTCGCACCTTCAAAGTGCAAAGTGATGCTGCAGGACCACCAACCACTTGATGACCCCTTGACGCTTGCTAACGAGGAACTCGAGGTGGTTGATCATTTCACTTATCTTGGCAGCTGCATCAGCAATGATGGGCGCATAGAAACTGACGTCAGCTCACGCATTGCAAAAGCCAGAGCTACGTTCTTGAACCTGCGGCATCTTTGGCGACAGAAGGGAGTTGCCCTTCGGCTGGAAGGCCGTGTATACAAGGCCACAGTGAGGGCGGTTGTGCTCTATGGGAGTGAGACTTTTCCCCTTCGGTCTTAAGATATGAGGCGTCTTCAAGTCTTTGATCATCGTTGCCTGCGAAGCATTGTTGGTGTCGTTTGGCACCAGCGTGTCCGCAACGATGATGTGCGTAGGCGAGTACTAGGTAGTGATAAACATGCTAGGTCCTTAGAACAAAAGATGGCACTGAATAAGTTGCGTTGGCTCGGGCACGTGCTAGGTATGCCTGGTCACCGCTTACCTAGGAGGGCCTTGTTTAGTCTGCCAGGTGTAGGGTGGTGCAAAGCTCCAGCTGGACAGAATTTGACTTGACAGCGCGAAATGAAGTCACTGACGACCAAACTGGGTGCCGTTGGTCCGTGCGGGAGTCCGCGTGACTCGCCTTGTGCTTGGCTCGAGACTTTGCAGGACTTGGTTCGCAGTAGACACCAGTGGCGCGTCTGCTGCCGTCTCCTAATCGCATTGTCTGTTTAAGGTGTGTTTGGTGCTGAGTTATCTGCGGGGTAATGGCTGATTGTGACGCGTGGCAGTGAAGGTCGCAAGGAAGCTGTCTCACCGATGCCGCCTTATCTTTGCATGGTAGTCAGCTGTTTGCGACGGTATGTTGTTTACACTAGATGTAGGCACCTCGGCCCTTAATTTTTAGGACATTAAGGTTTTCAGGTAAGTCCTCCTTCTCTCCCTCTTATCATTCTATATTTCATAGCTCATCATGGTTGTATGGCAGCGGAGCATCAGTTCAAACGAGTGACATACTGCTTTTGTTAATTGTTGGTCACGGGACGTAAATCGAAGTGACGAAGTTAAAACATCACTCTCTCATCGGTCCATTTTTGCTGAGGAACTCACCTGGATTGGTGATGAATGTGTGCGACGAAGTAGTTCGGCTCACAGAACAAACCTAAACCGCCATTCGTTAGTGTGGCTTGGGGTGAACAGTTTTCGCGACAGTGATAGATCCAGAAAGTGACCCCATCACGAAGCCAGCCACATTGCAACCAATGCCTTACCCCAGAAAGATACGCGTAATACTCCCTGATGTGGATCGTTGAGCGACCGGCAGGAGCTGATCCTCCACCAGTCTGATGCTCATGGAATCGCGAATTCTGTGGTTTTGTAGACAGACGACTACAGTTGATTCAGATGTTCTGCTGTAACACTCGCCTTATCAAAAACGATTGAGAATCCCACCTGCCCACCTCCAGCTCTCACTTTCGTGGTTGCGCTTATTGTGAGTCCTCCTGTTCCATATAGTCATGGCCTTTCTGTAGCCAATCATCCGGTCAGCTGGTCACATCTGGAGATTCTTCTCGCATCCAGTTCGATCGATACAGGACAGCGAACATCACCAGGAAGCTATATCGTAGACGCCGATTTGTTTCCACGTCATGGACTGCTACCAATAGGCGTTCAAACTTTTCAGTGTGTACGCGCATTGTCGCCGAATTCCTTCTCTTCTTGTATCACATTCCTCCGTGGTTTATTCTAGCATGGATGTGTGATAGCTAATGGCTAGCTTGTAACACTGATCTGTTGTCGCCTTCATCGTCATTCTTTTTTCTATTTGTACTTGCAGTTACGCTTTTTAGCCCAACAGACCCCACTTATCGCAAATTATTACTTCCCGCGCCGATATCGTTGCTCAGGTGATAACCTGTTGCAGTCCTTCACCTAATATATGCATGTATGTAGTAGCAACACTCTATAGAATGGTCACAGAGCCAAACAAAACCATGGAAATTACTGGAAGAAGACAGGTTTAATCACCGCCTCATCATCATAGCACATTAGCTGAAGGTGAGCAATAGGCTTCAGCTCTTGCGCCGCAGTAAAAAACGGAACAGTCTTTGTTATTTCGTACACACCGTTTTTCATTTTTTGTCTTTTTCAATTGTTAATCGTTAAGCATATGAATCCAAACAAGTATCTACACAGTTCTTCCACTAATTTCGATTGCGCACCATATCCTGAATTGCTTTTAGCCATCGGCAATCCTCGTCCTTTGGTCTCCAACCAGGCGGACGTGTGGATCCAACGACGGCAAGACGTGATGTTAACGATTCCTTGTGTTATCGCCTGGTGGAGGGCTGATCCCCGCGTAGTCTCTTCCAGCCAATTCCTGCACGAACGAAAAGAGCGCAATGGGGCAAACTCTCAGTTGACATACGCAGGATGTGGTCGGGGCATCTTAACTGATGCAGCAAAACTAGCTTGTTGGAGGGAAAACTCGCATTCTCTACGACATGACGTCTGACTTCACTGTTACAACTGCGTTGCCACCACACGCACGGTCCTTTCCAAGCACTCATTGTCGAAGGCCGAGAACCGGTGCGTGTCATCCACGCGAACTGGTCACGGCTCGCTTCCATATAGCAACACCGTTCTGACGACGGCATTGTAAACACGACCCTTTACCAAGAGCGAAGCATTCCGACGACGCCACAAGTGTTTCAGCTTGGCAAACGTCGACCGAGCTTTAGCAATGCGAAGGGAAACTTCCTTCGCAATAGTGCTACCAGCAGATACGCAGCTGCCCAGGTAGATAAAGCTATCCATTTATCCAAGCTGTGTATCTTCAAGAGCGAGCACAGGAACGGGCGAGTGTCAATTCTGGAGCAGCACTTTACACTTCGACGGTGCACAACACATCCCGTATTTAGATTCCTCAATGGTCAAGCAGTTTTGAATGGTTTGCATGATCGGTGAATCGTCACCAAGTAAGACGATATCATCGGCATAATTTAACTCGGTCGCTCACTTTCCCGGTAGTAGCTGCAGACCAAAACGTTGGTAACCTCTCTGAGCTCTCGATAGGATGTCTTCACTCGTAAAATTGAAGAGGAAAGGGGACATAGCGCAGCCCTGTTGTACACCGCTGTTGGTAGCGAAGGACGACGAAAGCTTGCCATGGACTCTCACTATGCAAGAGATGTGGAGGTAGAGTGTGCGTAGGATGGCAGTGTACTTCTCTGTGATCCCATTGTTTAGCAGACAACGCCATGGTGCAGGCCAATCAACCGGATATCTAGGAATGCAACAACGGTAGGCCTCTGGTAAAGGTGGCGGTATTTGAGGATATAGCGGCGTTTGAATATCTGATCCACACACCCGCGACCAGGTCGGAAGCCAGCTTGTTCTTCCTGGTACTGTGATTCACTATGGGGGATAGTCTACGGAGAAGCATGAATGCTTGAAGTCAACCGAAATATGCAGTTCTCTATATATTCTGATTAAACTTTCTGCACTGTACTACGTGTTTGCGTATCTGTTCTTTTGAGCAATCATGACAACTACTTTTTCCCTCTGTCTACGAGTTGTCGCTTTCCCACCTGGATTGACCAGTCCATGCGACACTTTTCATCGCTTACCTTTGCGAGCAACGTGTTGTTTCCGTTTTTACTCTGGTGTTCCATGATGAATGCTTTTCCTCAATTTCAAACATCATTGACGACTGATCCAGGTAGCTTACTAGAAAGAATCAAACATTAAGATAAACAATAGCTACATGGTTTTAGGTATTTTCTTCTGATGATTCATGATAGGTGGCTTTTCTTTATTTTCCTGTTCATTTTTCAATATTGTAAGGTTGAAAGCGTAAATTTTAACCTATGTTTTTCCTTCAGCGCCGTTAATTCCGATTGCCAATCCGGACAGCGTATGGGATTTGGCCAATGGTTTAATCGGCCTGGCTTTACAGTCAAAAAGTGGATTCCCGTCGAAGAGGGTTCGTTTTGAATTACATAGAGTTTGCGACCCGTCTGTAGATTTTCTCGACGTGAGCTTGTCACCTGAAGATACGCAAAGATTAACTGAAAATTACCAAGAAATACGCTTGTATCTGGGCCCATACCCTAAAGAAAAGTAAGCGTTGAGTCTAATCCCTCAGATGTTTTTTTTTTCGAAACGTTGCACATTTATACTTTCCAGGGCTCAATCAGGCAAATATCACTGATGGACTTGCTAAAACACTAGGTCGCGAAGAGCACCCTTTTCGATAATTCTCATCAGGCGTTTACAATTATAAAATGGAAAATTGAAGCAGGATAAGCTGGTGAAGCGCGATAGAGATTGGCGAGCGAGGCAGAAATTGAGCTGTCTTCGTCGATAAATTGGACGATCTACTCAAGCAGCGGCTACCAGTATACGTAGACAGACTGACACACACATGCTTGCGCACGTGCTTTTCAACTGGTTGGGTGAGGCACTCATCACCAGATGGTTGTCAGCGCGTGGGGTGAAAGCTGTTTGGAAGCGTGTTATCCCCATGGCAAAATAAGCGCCCTCTGTTTACATAGCTCAGGTTGTGTAAGCCTGATCGCAATGGATTCGGCCGTCCGTAACATTCGTTTCCTAAGCCCTTTGGGGTAGCGTTTTGGTACAACATAAAACACTTTGAAAGCATCAGTAGCCTTGATTTGATGTCCACTTTCGACCAGATGTTCTAGGATAGAACTCTTGATGCAGTCGACAGTACTTTTCTGCAATGCCTTGGGACAGGATTGGTACTGATGGATAAATCTGACTACGTCTCCAAGATACATTTCATTTTACAGGACACGGACAATACTGATGCTGTGTAGACCACTAGGCTGACGAAGATTTGCCTCGCAGCTACAAAAGAGAACAATTTGCACACTCATCCGTGTATGCAACTTTTGAGCACAGTCAATTCACCATTCCGGGGCTATAGTTTTCCAACATTAACTAATCACGCTTTTATTTTCGTAGTCTCCGTAACTGATCGTCTTCACGGATCGTATGGATATGATGTTGGATTGGTGGCCTTTAGCCACATATTGCACGTTCGTGGTACATTTCACACCCCTCAGTTTGACCATTGTTAAGTTTGATGGTGAGTTACATCTGGCCGGAAATGCCGACCCCTCCAGAGTGAGAGGCTTCCCGGCGACGATCTTCGTCATTGTTGTGTTTCTGCAGGCGCCCGGATAACCGACTTAGTTACTCGGGTCTCGCGCCAGCCACCTCAACACTCAGAAGACAAAGGCCGCTTCAAAGCCTTTAATTAATCCCCGGAAAACAGCGTTGTTCACAGTCAAAATGATTCTGCTTATATATATATATTATATAATCGATTATATACAATAGGAATGATCTATAGGAAGATTTTGGGTTGCAAGAAAATACTAGATACAGAAAAGCGCTCCCGTTGGCTTGCTCCTAGTCAAAAAGCTTTTTGCTGGTCGGTCCGGGCTTCCGTTAAAATTACTGGAGTAGAACCAGTCTTGGACGGTTTTCGTAAGCGGAATTCTGTTATAAAACGGAGCTACCTTAACACTACCACCTGCTATCGGACTCTTATCCTGGAACTTGCCGTTGATGCAAGTTTGCTTCTTCGTGTTCGTGCGGGTCCCTGGAGCCTTTTGTGTAATTGAACATTCCTTCTGATATGAATTCGTGAAATGGGGTGAAGACCGCCTGAGTCCATGTATCCTTGGAACCAAAGAATTCAGCATTAGTTAGTAACCGGTGAATTTAGATTCGCTTTAACAGATGCCGCGGCGTGAACTTTGAATCATCACGTCGCTATCTTGGTCGGAAATTTTCATCTCCTTCCTCATTCTTATGTCAATGCTTAGTGTAGAGTCCTAAACGTTTCAATCGCCACATACGGCATTCATCAGGTGGTCTAATCTTTATGTATTTTCTTTATGTTAGCCTCCATGCTTGACCGCTAGGTATACATAGATGAAGAAAAATTAATTTTGTATGTTTAACGATAAGCGTTATACGACCCCTAGGTGGACGCGATCATGTGAACCACGTGGCCTTGACTGAGATCACTCATGCATGCGCATAGTGTGAAAAACTCTTTCGCACCACAACTTGTCATTCGGTTTCGTCATCAGGAGATCACTACCTCATCGCTTCTCTTGCTTATTCTTCTCACCGTGTAGCCATCGCGACTGGGTGGCGCTGACCAACCTGATTGCTCCGCATGATGTGTGCAGACTTTTACCTGTGTGTGGCCGGGTAACTTCCTGCACCCAGTTCCAGTCGGAACCTTCTTCCAGTCAGCAACGTTTGGCAGCGAAAGCAAGTGAACCCCTGCCCACATCCATTGACAATCCTGAGGACCGACTACCAAACCTTAGTGTTGTCCCCGGAACGGAGGTTAGTTCCCAGCAGTTGTTGCGTATGAACCAACATCCTGACTTAAATCACATGATATCAGGTGCCCCATTCGTAATCGTTGCACGTTTTTGTTCGGGTTGTTAAGTCGAGTGATGACTTTGCGGTTGAAGTATAATGTGCGTTTCGGAATTATGTAGATCATTATCCTTCTTAGTAATGATCCAAACGTTCTCTCGTACTAACGAAATGACAAGTCTCAAAGTTTAAGTTTATTAGAAAGCGCTTCCACTCGAGTAATATCGTTCTAAATTACTTGCTTACCTTGTTTTGCTATTTTGCTTTCTGTATTTGAATTACCAGTCTTGCGAGTTGTGTCGGCGGCGGCGTCAGCAGTACGCCAGTGCGCAGCACCGACACTTCGCCGCTACGCGGCCACCACCAGTCACTCGCCGGCTAAGTATACTACGACGCCACTCGCACATACGCGAACTAGAATAGACGATCTTTGCATTACGAGACAGTCGCTACATCGCTTTGGTCACTGGCCGACATGTCATATCAACTGTTTGGGCCGTCTATACTCCTTTGCCTACAAGTATAATTGCACCCATAGGTTGTGCGGGCATGGTGCTTCCCGGTTGCCCAGGCCAAGGAAGAAGGTTGTTTTAGGGGACCCTACCCTTCTGTCATGAAAGACCTAATCCGCAAGTCAGCGGGGCGATTGACCTATACCGCGAACCGTTGGAAGCCGGCTATCTAGGTGAGGATAAAACGGCTTTCGAGTAGGGGCAAACTATTCAGGGCGCCCAAATAGCCCGAGTGAAGCAGCAAGGAGGCCAGAATTCCCTGGACTACCGAACTCGCCGCGAAGCACAAAGGCGGTTAACAGCCTGGTGGCTCATACGCCTTCATAGAAGCCGGCGGTCATCGAGGTTGTTCATCCGCCCTTCGTTAAGTACTCACTTCTGTGACCTATGCATCTATGTTTCAGCAACTCTTCGCTCGCTTTCTCCGCTCTCGCTCTCACTGCTCTCACTCACTCCCTCTCTCTCCTCTCTCTCTCTCTCTCTCTCTCTCTATATATATATATATATATATATATATATATATATATATATATATATATATATATATATATATATAGACTATATATATATAACGTACGATTGCCGTGCCACAGCGCAGCATTTTTCTTCTACCTGCTTTTAGTTTATCACTGTTCAGATCATGCGTTTAGCTTGGTAGTTGTATTTGCTTTCTGAGCTATTTGCTGTTGCGTCTGTCATCAGCCATTATATGTGAACGGTTACTGTTTGGTAACTGTTCATAATGCCTGCATTCTTGCCGTCATAATTTTATCCTGGCACACGTTCACGGTGTCGCACACGGAATATGTTCTCTGGCTGATATGTCGTCGCCCTTTACTATCTTCTGCGGTGTGAGGCAAGGATGCCCGCTTTCACCTTTCCTCTTCAACTTCGCTATTGACGAAGTCATGTAAATCGCCTCCACAGAACACGACTTAGAAGGTGTGGATCTGCTCCCGAGTGAACGACTTCTTGACTTGGAGTATGCTGACGATATTGCCCTAATATTTGACGGCTCCCAGACATGCCAAGCTGGACAGATTAGCACTGACTGTCAGCCGCTTCGGGATTTGCTTTGCACCATCGAAGTGCAAAGCGTTCTTTCAAGATTGGCAGGAATCGCCCCCTAAGCTGACCCTTGGTGGGGATCTGCTAGAAGTCGTTCAGAAATTCAACTACCTGGGAAGTTGTATCAGCGCCCGTGGGATTGAAGATGAGATCACGAACCGTATAACAAAAGCTCGAGACGCTTTTGCTAACCTTCGCCACTTATGGCGCCTGCGCGACATCACTCTTGCCCTGAAGGGTAGAGTGTACAATGCAGCGGTACGTTCGACCCTACTGTACAGTTGTGAAACCTGGCCGCTTAAAGCAACGGACCTGAAGAGGCTAGTTACGTTCGATCACCGGTGCCTTCGTAATTTAGCTCACATCTGGTGGGAACACCGCGTCAGCAACGAGCGTGTTCGACGCCTTGTTTGTGGCACAGGGAAAGGAAATGAACCGCTCAGCACCGTTATTTCCCGCACCAGGCTCCGATGGCTCGGCCACGTGTTACGCATGCCAGCCCACCGACTCCCGCGATGTGCGTTGTTTGCGCGCCGGGGGTGTGGATGGAAGAAGAGGATGGGTGACCAAGCGATGACTTGGTCGAGAGGAATGAAGGCCCTCACTTCTGAGCTGGCCTCGGTTGGAGCGTCTCGGTTCCCTGGTTGGGGTCCTATAGACGATGAACACGTTTGGTTGGACACACTTGCTGATATGGCTAGGAGCCGACCTCAGTGGCGTTCGTGCTGTGAGTTTTTTTGTCCCTTCCCATCCCTTTTAGTTTTCCCCTCCTAGCACGATCTAATTTCGTAGCGTATTATATTTTTACATAATTTTTCTTGTTGCCTAGTAGCCGGCTAGTAGCTTACCGGAACGCTGCCCATCCGTTGCTGGTAGCTCAGCTGGCATGCAGCTGTTATATTTATTTTTCTTTTCCTTTATGTATTGCGGCACGGTAGCAGAGATGTTTCCCACCTCTAGCTGACGTGTATAATGGTTATGATGACCCCATCCCTCTTAGCCTCCGTCTCCAGCTGCGATCTTATTTTTTTAACATTTTATGATTTTGCAGAGTAAATTATTTGTTTTTCTGCCACATGGTAGCTTACCGGAACGATGTCCATCCGTTACCGGTAGCTCAGCTGGCTTGCACCTGTTGTATTTTATTCCCTTTTTTCTTTTAGGTATTGCGGCACAGTAACTGAGGTGTTTCCCTCCTCTAGCTAACGTGTATGGTGTGTGTGTGTGTGTGTGGCTGATATGTGGTCCAACTATGCAACAGGAATCCTCACCCGTTGGTTACATCTTAACCATTTCTTGCCACCTGTACATAAAAGCTGACGGCACTGCCCGTTCGTAGGCGTTCCCATGCTCGACTTGAGTAATGGCGACGCGAACACGAGCTCGATGTGGTCACTAAGCAAGCCCTTTTGATGTCGCATGTTTGTCCGAATCACGAAATCGGTAGTAGCCGATCCTTGGCAACCAGGCGAATTTTTTAAAAGCAAAGTATGGCCTTTTTTAAAGGACCAAAATAACTTCAGAAGGTTTATCAACACTCCTATTGTTTACTAGAACAAGTACTTTGATACTGCGTATGGCCCCCACCACATTGCGTAGTCATTAAGTGCACCTTTTTGCTCGAATTCTGGGTAATTATGGCTTTAATTGAGTTCGTTGGACAATCCTAAAGCAAAGTAAAGAATGATAAATCGGTGATCGAATAAGTACATCAGTGGCCGGCCCGTATCCTTAGGGTCACAAGCTTGCCTTGTAATCCGAGGACGCAGGTTCGAGCCTGCGTAGGGACCGGGCGACCCTCGCAGTGTCCTTAGCCCACGCGCGACTAGTTGTGATTACGAGGCGACGAAGCCTCGGTATTGCGTACCGGCTTCTAGAATGTCACGGATTGCAGCTGCCCAAGCGCGGCGGTCGGCGGCAAGCTCCACGCAGCTACTGATTCAGTGATCTTTCCACTGACGTGCACCATGCACAACCTGGAGTCCCAGAACATCGACATCTGATTTCACTGCAGCCAGCCACGTTTTCACTTGTCCACCACGGCGACGACACCAACCCTGGCAAGGCGAGGGGGAAACCAAGGCCCTAGTGACGTCAGTGTCTGGTGTGCGGACGACGTGACCGAGCCACTGAAGTCTGTGGCGCCGAGAGCTCCGCAAGACCTTACCAGCGCTTACGAACTTCGTCATTGGTGACACGCTCATGCCACTGCGTTTTCAAGATAAGTCTTAGACACCAATGGTGAAAGACTTCCAGCTTTCGGGTCTTTTCGGATCGCAGCGGCCATGTTTCTCAGCCATAGATTAAAATGGCATGAATGGTTGATGAGAATACTCGAATTTTCGCTCTCAGACTATTTTCCGTCCTTTGCCACAACGTGTTTTTCAGTTGTAAGAAGGCTGTTCTAACCCTGTTTTTATGATTCCGGATTTCGGATGTAGCCTGACCATTGCGGAGTATAGTTGGTCCAAGATACTTGAACTCAGGAACGGATTTGATAAGTTGTCCATGTAAGAAGAGCGACGCGGCGGACTGGGTGGCTAACGATGAGAAGTATGTTCTCTTGCTGATATTAATTTCGAGGCCGATCACAGGCTAATTGGTCATCCCAATTTAGCAGTGACTGTATTGATATTGGATCTTCTGCAAGAACAGCGATATCGTCAGCAACTTCTAGGTCTGACAGCCAGATGTGAGGGATAACTTGAACACCACAATAGCTCTCAAGGACATGATGCGTAACCCAGTCTATTGCGAAGTCGAATAGCTATGGAGAAAATGGGCAACCCTGTCGGAGTCCATTGTCGAATTCTTAGTACGCCTGGTAGCGGGTTTCACACTAAATGCGCCGGGTGACAATTTTCGCTTTGTTAGCCGTCAGCACTACACTCATTGTACTGCGTTCAAGTTACCTGAGATCCTTCGATGGTTTTCCCACTTCGAACAATATGTCAATTCCACTAAGACCTCTGGGAAAAGCATTGTTTTGACAATAACCTGTTTACGATGCTTTTCGATGGAATATATGCATTGTTGCAAACGTGGAATTGGATGGGAACTTCAACTACTCAACACAAGGCTGTTGCGCATCATCATTACACTTGTTACCTAGAGGTGGAAAACACAGCTGTTGTGCCGCAATACATAAGAAAGAAGAAAAACACCTGCAACGGAGGCACACCGGCTGAGCCACCAGTAACGAAAAGCTACCACTCGGTATTGTGCCGCACAAATATTTTATGATGCAAAATTTATAGTATGCTAACAAATGAGGTGGCTGGAGGAGGAGGAACAAAGAAACTCACAGCACGAACGCCAGTGAAGTCGACTCTTAGCCACGTCAGCAAGCGTATCCAGCCAAACGTGTTCATCGTCTTTCGGACC